TAGCGATCTTATTCACCGATATTGTTTCAAATTTGGTATTTGAAGTTTGTATTGGATATTACAGCCTTTGACCGTCCTCGTATAGCCCCTATATAACGGCACCTCCGATTTTTTGGTATTTTGGTGATTTTAGCGACATTATTCACGGGAATGATTTCAAATTTGGTATTTGAAGTTCGTAATATATACTACAGCCTATGGAAGAAAATTGTCTGTGCAGGTTCACGTTTTGGTATAGCCCCTACATAATGGTACCTCCATATATTCTGTATTTGGATGATTTTAGCTTCATTATTCACCGGAACTGTTTTAAAGTAGGTATTTGAAGTTCGTTGTGGATACTACAGCCTATGGCAGAAAATTGTCTGTGCAGGTCCACGTTTTGGTTATAATGGTACTTCCCTATGTTCGGTATTTTGATGATTTCAGCTACATTGTTCACCGATTTTTTTTTCAAGTTTCAATGGTAAAAGTTGCCTATGCAGGTCCACGTCGCCGTATAGACCCTATTATAAGGTCTAACTAAATTTTTTACATATTTTTTTTTTAATTTCCATTTTCGTCCCAAATGGTGGAGGGTGTTTAAAGTTTGGCCCGGCCGAACTTACAGCTTTTTTACTTGTTCCTACTAGATCTAGTATTGCCAAAAATATTGAGATGTGGTAAATTCGAAAAATGTTGGTAACTACTTACTAATTTTTTGTAGGATATTATTTTAAAATGTTACTATTTAACGGGGGCGATGACACGTTTGTACACGATTACAAAGAGTCGCTCTTCATTAGTGCCACAAACAAAGAATTTTTGACATGTTTTACACAAATACCGCTCTTGAAATTTTAGGTACGATACTTATAGACAAGGAAACAATATTTTATTTAGTGTGGACTTTTTCAAAATTTACCAGACAACTGTCAATATTTTCTTTCTGATAGACTTATTTATAGATTTAAATATTACCCTTCTTCAAACAACACTTATTTTGTGCGATTGTTGGTACATTTGAATAAAACTTTCCAATTGTAGTCAATTCGGTTGGCAGATATAACCAGGAACTTTTTTCGCAGGCTGAAAAAACAAAAAACTATAACGAATTCCATTAGGGAACTCCATAATATTTTCTGCGGAGCCATATAGTTTGGTCAGAATTGTTTTTGGTCCATAAAATAATTAACTTTTCCCAAATTGAATTTCCTTGCTTTTAGATTGTCTTATTTTGTGAAACAAAATATAATTAAAACGGACAAAATACTTAGTTTAATCAGAGTTTAATTTGTAAATCAAAGGAAAGGTTCATGTTTCGGTACCCTGTTTCGGTTCCTTGTTGCGTATACGTGGTATGTTAATAATACAATTAAAAATCATACGCCCCCGTGTTTAGCATAACTTAACAATTTTGTAAAGCCCATTACAATCAGTTTGTTAAACAGCGAAATTGGAATGACTTTTTTAAAGCGGATCTTAAAACAGTAAATGTCTTTAAAAACAAGTGTGATATTCTACTTAATAACACATATCTTTTCAATTCGTCAATAAACATAAAAGTTAATATAATTTGTAAAATATTTTCATATATTAAATTTAACAACGTTTGTAATCAGCCGTGAAAAATTCAAGGGAAAAGACTGTTCATCACATCACCAACATTAAATTTTCTACAAAAAATGAAAAGAATATTTATTGCAAAAATTTAATTACTTTAAATATGCCTTATTCATCAATCATTCAAAATACACCCACTTGTGTATTAAATACACCAACATTTTGTTATTGGCATCTTTGCAAAAAAAAAAAAAAACGCTTCTATACTAAGTCATTTTTATTTTCTGAAATGGAAAATTTATGAGTTGTAAAGAAAGTTGATGACTCTCTTTTTGGGGCTGTAAAAATACTCTACTTTACTGGAAACTCATAAAATCTGCGCCTATAATGGCGGCGGCCAAGAAAGTCTGTTGCTTCCACCACCAATCAGTCTATCGGGAGTGTAGGGCAGGCAATACAACAGTCAATTTGTTATTTTATGGAGGCCATTAAAACCAATGACAGTGTTATCTTCGGCGTAAAGCGTGGCCCTCTGACCATCTGCAATGTCTCATTTCCTTTCGATTCTTGTTTCGTTTTGACCCCCCTTAACAATTAATGTACGTTTCTTCATTGCAGTCATTTCGTGTGGAAGTCATGATGTAATAGAAAGAGGCTAATTGAAAATGTTATTTCATCAATAAAATATTAATTTTTGTTAGAACACAGTGACAGTTTGGCCCGCAGACATTGATTTTGAGAGTTCGTATTTGTGCGGGGGAATATAATTTTTTATAAAATTATATTTTTTCGTTTTTCTTGTTCGGCAACTTTTAAGATATGTCACAAATTTGCTTTTCTATAATTCATATATTTTTTTTTTTTTTTTTTGTTGAACTAGAGATATGAATGTAAAACTTATGTTGTATATCTCGATCTGATAGTAATAAAGAACAACTAGTAGATGAATATAAATATTGAAATACGTACCAATTAGACATATAAAGGTCTGTGCAACTCTTTCAAGTCCTTCATATTTAAAAATTATTTCTACATTTTCAATGGAAATGGTTTCGATAAGGAACTTTAGCTTCTGAGTATAAAGACTTTAATTGTTAAAGAGCAATACCCAATGGTAGGTGCAACAGAGCGTATGAATAACGATTTTATACTTTTGTATTTATCATACGCACCCATTTCCTTTTAATTGGAATACAATCTAAAAGAGTTTCTACCAAGACTCGAACAACCTGCCAGTTGTGGTCATCTATGTGAATATCTATTAATATTCTAAGAGAAGACTTGGTCTTCTACGAGGGGACATTTTCAATGGCAGCATATATTGGTCTCTCTTTTTCTGGTCTTCTATAAAAAGAGCTCTCACTGGTCTTCTATGAAAAGAGCTTTTGCTGTTCTTCTATGAAAAGAACTTTTCCTGACCTTCTGTGAAAAAACTTTTTCCTGGTCTTCCACTAGAAGACTTGTGGTGGTCTTCTATGAGAAGCCCTTTTGCTGGTCATCGATGAGAAACCCTTTTGTTGATCATATATGTGAAGTCCTTTGTTGGTCTTCTATGAGAACAGGCGTTCTATGATAAGTCATTATGCTCTTCTATGAAGAAGACTTTCTGCTGGTCTTCTATGCGGAAGGCCTTCTGCTGGTCTTCTATGAAGAAGGCCTTCTGCTGGTCTTCTATGAAGAAGGCCTTCTGCTGGTCTTCTATGAAGAAGACCTTCTGCTGGTCCTCTATAAAGAAGACCTTCTGCTGGTTTTCTATGAAGAAGTCCTTCTGCTGGTCTTCTATCGAGAAGAGCTTCAGCTCTTCTATGGAGAAGACCTTCAGCTCTTCTATGGAGAAGACCTTCAGCTCTTCTATGGAGAAGACCTTCAGCTCTTCTATGGAGAAGACCTTAAGCTCTTCTGTGAGAAGACCTTAAGCTCTTCTATGGAGAAGACCTTAAGCTCTTCTATGGAGAAGACCTTAAGCTCTTCTGTGAGAAGACCTTAAGCTCTTCTATGGAGAAGACCTTAAGCTCTTCTATGGAGAAGACCTTAAGCTCTTCTATGGAGAAGACCTTAAGCTCTTCTATGGAGAAGACCTTAAGCTCTTCTATGGAGAAGACCTTAAGCTCTTCTATGGAGAAGACCTTAAGCTCTTCTATGGAGAAGACCTTAAGCTCTTCTATGGAGAAGACCTTAAGCTCTTCTATGGAGAAGACCTTAAGCTCTTCTGTGAGAAGATCTTCTGCTCTTCTGTGAGAAGACCTTAAGCTCTTCTGTGAGAAGACCTTAAGCTCTTCTGTGAGAAGACCTTCTGCTCTTCTCTGAGAAGACCTTCTGCTCTTCTCTGAGAAGACCTTCAGCTCTTCTGTGAGAAGACCTTAGGCTCTTCTATGACGAAGACCTTAAGCTCTTCTATGACGAAGACCTTAAGCTCTTCTATGACGAAGACCTTAAGCTCTTCTATGACGAAGACCTTAAGCTCTTCTATGACGAAGATCTTAAGCTCTTCTATGACGAAGACCTTAAGCTCTTCTATGACGAAGACCTTAAGCTCTTCTATGACGAAGACCTTAAGCTCTTCTATGACGAAGACCTTAAGCTCTTCTATGACGAAGACCTAAGCTCTTCTATGAAGAAGACCTTCTGCTCTTCTCTGAGAAGACCTTCTACTTTTCTCTGAGAAGGCCTTCTGCTCTTCTCTGAGCAGACCTTCTCTTCTTCTTTGAGAAGACCTTATATGAGAGCTGTCCTTTTTTCTTTATGATAAGACCTATTGTTCTTCATTTAGAATACCCCGGGGTCTTCCATGTGAAGGCCCCTTTGTCTTCTGTGAGTAAACCTCTTAATCTTATTCAGAGAAGGCCTTTTTGAGTTCACTGACCTCATCTATTAAAAAAATTGTAGACAATAAAATTCAAAGTTCATTATCTCTTCCCGGAACATGCAAAAAAAAAAATTATGGCTCCATTATATTTGTGGTTTTACAAAACACACCTCGTTAGTGAAATAAAACCACCACTCCTTTTTCCCTATGGAACCATATTTAAGACTAGTTTATGTATCTCCTTTTTCAAATTCTCCCCCAGTTATGGTTTTTCCAAACACCTTAAGAGGTTACATGTGGTTGGTCTGATATTATCTACATTGCCGTCATTCTCGAAAAGATTTCAATTTCAACTATTGTTGGAACATTTCAATTTAGATTGAAGAGAATAACAACAACAACAAAGCCGGCAATAAGACATTGTATTTACTTTGTTGTTGGTTGTTGGCTGTCTGCTGTCGACATATCTTCTTTTGCAATATCCTTCATTGTTTCGTTGCTTTTTTTTTGCTAGACTATTAAAATGTTAGAAATACATACGTAATGATATTTTTACTTTCATGTTTTTCCATTTCCTTGATTTCCATTGCTTTGTTGGTGTTCTGCAATTACGTTAATGTTATGTGTTTCTCGATTGTTTTTTTCTTTGCAGAGAATTTCGTTTAGTGCTGCGCCAAGATCCGCTGTCTGTATTTGCCAGCGATGTTCACATTGAGAGTACAGATGGACCCATGGATTATGATATATCCCGGGTGTATACAGGATCCTTAGAGGGTAAGTTTTAAGATTTAAACTTTTCACAGCCATTTTTAATGTCTAAGGTTCTGAAAAGTTTCGTAATTTAAGTATTTTTTGAAGTTCACCCGTTTTGCAATTTTGGGGATTTATGTTGTGCTCATATTGTCCTGCTTGTAAATCTCCTTAGAAATGATCGCCATAAATTTCCATAATTAATTTAGCTCCTTCCTTCCTCTCCGCTTCCCCTCAACTAGTTTACCAACCTATATATATCATTATAATGTACAAAGTCTGCTAAAAGAAAATTGCCTTTAATTCACTATAAAAATATTTCAAAACATAATCTAAATAAATAACCTCCAATCCCCCCTCTTTTCACCCCCATCCCGCAAAGAAAACAAAAAATAACTAACGCTGAGACATAAATTGCAATACGCTTATGCCGAAAGTTTAACAAACTCATAAACGAAGTGAAGAGTAACTTTGAACACGACATCTTTTGCTTGTTAACGTTTTGTAATGACCAACATCCCGCTGTTGCCAGTTGCCCCCACCCACCAGAAGTCTCTGTGTGCGAAGAAGGAGGGCATCCTTGGATAAGATTAACATGTAGTGGAAATCCTGGGTTTTTGTCTTTTTCATTTCGTTGTTACTATAATTCCAGCTGGTTGTTGTCGCTGCAAATAAGATTCATTTTGGCAGAAAAGTTTTATGTCTTCCTGCTGCTGCTATTGCTGCTTGACGTGCTTTCGTGGAATTGCAAAACTGCAGTTGCTTGGCTGTGCGTTCATGCTCTTGCAGGATCTCCAATTTTTGCTGGCAGGACAAAGTTTCCACATTCAGCTCTATATACTGAGCTCTATATACGTAAATAAATTTCGGGGGAGTTTTAATATCATGTCGACATTTAGTGTAGAAAGCAGAAACGACAACTCATTCTTATTTAAACATCAGTAACCGAATAAGAACAAAGAAGTGGAAGAAGAAGAAGAAAAAATAAAGACTACGCTCCAAGGACACTTTGAGTTATTTTTACCCAAAACATACAAAAGTAGTTAGCAATATAATGTCGCCATTATTGCCAGTATCATTTGCCTGATATGTTGGTTGTATGCCGTAAAACGAGGGGTGGGGCAATAAGTTCTGTCAACAAGCGTTTTCAACATTTTATTGGGGGTATAAAATTGCAATAAATATAAAGGGAGAATGAAATGATGAACAACATGTGGCAAGCTTTGAAATACAAGAGAAATGAAGAGCTAAAAGGGTGATTTATTAAGAGCTAAAGGAAAATTTAATTAAAGAAATGAAAAAATTTCGAAAGTCTTTCTTTGAGTCGATTGCGAGCATGGCCCATCTGATATAATGGTTGAAGATTATTTCATGTAAATATTGACCGCGATGTACCCCAAAAGGCCTATCCGCTTACTCCCATTTTGGCACACTTTTTCCAACATTTCGGCCGGTATCTCACGAATAAATGCTTCAATGCTGTTTTTTTAATGCGTTAATTGAAGCGGACTTGTCTACATAGACATGGGCCTACAAAAGTAGGCTAAATGCCCTACGTTGCACGATCTTTGAGGCCAACTGGCGGGTCCATAACGCGAGATAAAACATCCATCGTACATGTGTTCGTTTTGTTGTAACCTCATGGCATTATTCATTTCTTATACCCTCCACCATAGCATGTAGGGTATATTAAGTTTGTCATTCCTGTAACACCCATTTTAGACCCCACAAAATATTTATATTTTAGGTTAGCATACAATTCTATGTCGACTTAGCGATATCCGTTCATCTGTGGAAATCACTCTAGCTTCCGAACGAATTGAAGTAGATTGATAAAATTTCACTCAAATGCATACTATGTCAGCAGGACTTTTGGTATTGAAAATGTGCACCATGTAGTTCCACGTTTTGGCATAGTCTAAATATATCGGTACCTGTCTATTTTCATTATTTTGGTGATTTAAGCGACATTATTTGCCGGAAATGTTTCAAATTCGGTTTTTGAAGTTCGTAATGGATACTACAGCCTAAGACAGAAAATTGTCTGTGCAGGTTTACGTCCTCGTATAGCCCCCATACCACTGTACCTCCCGATATTCGGTACCGACATTATTCACTGGAATTGTTTCAAATATGGTATTTGATGTTCGTATTGGCTACTACAGCCTATGACAGAAAATTGTCTGTGCAGGTACAGTGGATACTACAGCCTATGACAGAAAATTGTGCAGGTTCACGTCTTCGTATAGCCCCCATGTAACGGTATCTCCCGATATTCGGTATTTTGATGATTTTAGCTACATTATTCACAGATTTTTTTTTTTTTTTGTTAAGTTTCGCGTTTGAATATTGTAATGGTTTATGACAAAAGTTGCCTATACACGTCCATGTCGTCGTATAGACCCTAATATAACGGCTACATTCGGTATTTTTCAGATTTTAACAGAATTTTTCAGGAATTTATTTATTTTTTTTTTTTTTTTGAAAATTGAGAAATTCGTTCCAAATGGTGGAGAGCCGAACTTACAGCTTTTTTACTTGTTTTTCATCATCTCACGGTAGCACTCACAATTCACCGTTTACAGAAGCCCAATTACGCCATCAGGCCATAAACCACACCAAACTATAACATTTTCTCGATGCATTTGTAGCTATTGCTATATTTCTTGCAGATCACTCCAAAATCTACATTTCTGCTTATTCTTGTACCCATTGGGTCAAAAATTATCTCCAACCGTTGGTCCTTTAAAGACGATTCATGATCAAAGTAATGACCAAACGGAAGACGCTTGACAGTGAAACAAAACACGGAACCAACATGTGCTATTTATAGTAAGATTGAAGAGAATCACTGACCTGTAAGGGTTAAAAGTACTCAACAGTTTGACCCTTTTTTGGGGCTACTTGAAGAAGTGGTCTGCTGTGTCTCATATTCCAACCAGATTTTGATATTTGGGGGAGAAATACTAGAAGGAGCGGAAAAATAATAAAAAATATCGAAATTTGAAGAGACCCAATTATGAGCGGGAGGTATCAGAAGGTGTGTCCCGATACATTCCATCTTCGCACTTGATCTCATCTTGATAGAAATATTTTTCCAAGTTCATTACGCGTTTTATAAGCTTAATGGTTACTCAAAATTTAGTCCCGTTCTGGGAGAGGTAACTGATGCAGTGGACCGATATTGTCCATTTTCGCACTCCTTCTGGTACATCCCCCACAAAATGTCGAAATTATCAAAAAATATAGAAGACTTGTCAACTTTGGCACGAATTATGCCCTTCAACCTTGCTTTCAAAAATACTACAGACACAATAGTCCTGCGGATTGGTATCCGGAGATTTTGGTGGCCATTGTGCGCAGGAAATGAAGCGAGGAACCTCATTTTGTAACCATTCATGGGTGGCGCGTGCTGAGTGCGATGGTGCTGAGTCCTGTTGGAATTTCCAAGGTTTGCGGCCAAAATGTTTGCGTGCCCAAGGCTTTAATACACCCTTCACAATATTTTCGCGACAATATTCGGCATTTAAACTGATGCCACGCGAAGCAACTCTTTAGCTTTTTTGAGTCTATTTTCTTTATGTTGCGGTGTAAGTTCTTTCACTTTTTGGAATTTCAATTGCTTTACCCCGAGCTCATTTTTGAATATTTGCCGAATGGTATATTGCGATATGTTCAGCTCACGAGCCATTTTTCGGCCACTGCAACGCGGGTTTCGATCAAGTCGCTTCTTTATTTTCGAACCATTTCTGCTGATGTTGTTGTTTTCTTTCATCCACCTTCTTGACGTTGGGCTACGCTACTAGCATCACGATAACGAGCGATGGTATGATACACAAAAGATTTATTCACATTTGAATGGTGAAGTGCTCTAACGCTTGAATTCCATTACGAATAAGTTTTTTTTAAGGAAAATTCTCACCAAAATGCTTTTGAACGCTTGTAAACAATATAATGAGCTGTCACTGGAATAATTTTAACGGCTGTCGGACGAGTGGCTTAGAAATGACAGAAGTCTGAAATTGGTTGCAGTTTTTTCATCTCACCCTGTAAGAGCCCGATTTTCTGAAAATTACACACATCACAATATTTTTATTGACCCAAGGTCTGATGTGAAAATGAAATTGATCGGTCCACTCCTTCTGGCAGCTCTCCCACAAAGAGTCAAAGTTTTGAATAACATAAACGATTATAAAATCCGAAATATGCATCTGCTTCCCTTTATATTTCTCACATCCCATTATTTCTACTCACACAAGATCTGCTGTAAAGATGGTAGAGATCGGATCTTTCCTTCTGGTACCTCCCCCAAAAAGGGCCATAATTTGGAATAGCCATAAAGCTCGTAAAACGAAAAATAAGCATCTGATTCTCTTAAAATTTCGCACATCCCATTATTTCTACTCACACAAGATCTGCTGTGAAGATGGGATATATCGGCCGACTCCTTCGGGTACCTACCCTACAAAGGGTTAAAATTTTGAATATGAATGAAGCATCCTATTCCATTCAGTCTTGGTGCATCTCAACATTTCTGTCAACATAAATTTAGTTATAAAGATGGTAGAAATCGGAAAATTTCTTCTGGTACCTGCCCTACATAGGGTCCAGGGTTTAAAAAACAACAAAACGCTCAAAGAAAGCGAAATAAGAATCCAACTCTCTTTAATATTTGCATACACAACATCTATCTGCGAACCCCCTCTGGTACTCACACACACAAAGGGTCACAATTTTCAATACTTTTATCTGTCATAACTTGCGAAACAAGTCAGCGATTCTTCACAACTTGCTATATCTAAATATTCCTCTAAAAAACTGTGATGAATATGGAATTTATCGTAATTTCTGATTTCTGATAATTTTTCGCATACGAATATTTTTATTCGGGTATGAAAATAAAATACTTCGACTATATATACCACGCCCGCACATTTCTACATTTCCTAAAATATATTAAATATCTCAAATAAATTAAAGGAAGTATTCCAAAGCTGACACGTCGCAATATTTATATCATATTT